TTTCCTCTTCCAATCTATGACTAAGAATGAGGCAAGCAAAGGGAGGATCTAAGATCCTGAAGGCGATGGCAACAAGAGGTCATTAGTTAATTCCCTCAACGACAGATACTACTTCCTTTTATTAAATAACAGCGGGTTTTAATGATGTCAAATAGTTTTTGTAATTCTAAAGGACACAGCACACTGAAAATTTACCTGAACCAGGCAAAAGAAGCAGAGACACAGAAGAAACACTGAACTGAGAGGGAGATTGTCATAAACCAAGTAAGAAATATATAAGACTGATCTGATTGTATGCCAAAACTTTAGAAGGTTACAAGGGCATATATATTCTTTCTTATATTATGTATCTTTGGCTTAACACAAGTAGTACCCAATTTAGCAAAAAGTCTGTTTTAACCAGTGCTTTAATGTTTACAAATAAGTTTTTCATGAGGAAAAAAGACAGACACAAGCACCATTCTAAGGCTTAAATGAAGGCTCATTGCTGCTTATTGCTTAAGTAATTTTTGAAAAAGCTTAATCAAGGTACTTTTATGACCAGCTATTTATTACCTGTACGACTACAGCACCTGGGAGCTTCAGTTAAACTGCAGCAGGACCTGCAAAGCCAGAGCAGGAGCGATGCCTCCTCTGAGGAGATTGCAATCATCTGAAAGATGAATAGTTCAGAAATGTAGGAGGGCACGAGGAAACAGGTGACTGGAATTTATGTTCTCTGTGGCTGCACTTTAGTCCACTTTCCCTCGTGCACTGGAAGGATCAAGGTGTGTGTTTGCTTACTCTCCCTGCCTCAGAAAAGAAAATCCATCCAGAATTCACATAAAGACAGGAAAAAAAAAAAACAAAACAAAACATGGAAGGAAGGTGTTTTTGGGTAGTAAGACTGGAAGAAAACTATTTACACATTTTAATATGTCTGCTTCCCATCTAAGAGAGAAAGGATTTCAATTTTTTTCAAGCTGTCATCCCACAGAGCAAGACTGAACCATAAGAAAATAAACAGGCACATACACAACTTTTGGAGGAATTCCATTTAAAGAAGAATTCTTTGAAATCACCACCCGACACAGTAGTGCACCCAACACCAACCAGCAGCCAGAGCTGTTTACAAGCTTTCTGCTCGGTGTCAGACTGAAAACCCAAACTCTTTTTGCTGTGTAATAAATCAGCGCCCCGCGTTTAACAATTTTCAGCGGCGCCATATGCTACGTAGTCCCATATGTTCCATTATAGGGAAGGAAAACATCATCTCGACATGAATCATCAGTGACTGTGTTCCTGTAAATCTGGCTTAAATGCTCACAGCGTTCAAGGGCAACGCTAAATAAATCTGCTCGGTTTTATGCCAGATTCTGTGCAACAGAGTCGCAGATCGCTTGCTGAAAATTAAGGAAAAACGAGGTTTAACGTCGGAAGTGAGCACACTGTTTGCATCTCTCCAGAAACAGACTCACTCTGCACAACATTTGGCACACATTCATATCAATAATGATGTCCTGCTCGTAGAATTATGATAGTATCTCGTGGTCCCCAACACTTTTCATCCTGAACTGCCTAATGCATGTGCAAATACACACAACTGCACCCAAGTGCCGTGTTCTGCACCACAGTGATTCTGGGGACGAGTTTGTGGGAAAAGCAAAACCCCAAACCAACCCCAGGTGTGGGTTTTAGACTCCAGGGAAATGCAGCTGTCACTGTACAGTTTACCCAGGATTTTAGGTTAACACCTCCACTCTTCAAGTGACAATTTCTTAGGTAAGTACACAAACAGCTTTCCCCCTTTTTCCCAAAGACAGGGTAACCCACAGCATAAAAGCTGCTTGTCCTGAGGCAAAGTCATGGCACACCAAGGTCATCATCTGCCCTTCTTTTGAGGAGTTTCTTGGGCTCTGATATCAGGAAGACAGACTGGAATTAATGCCCCACACTGTGAGAATGCCCCTATTTGAAAGTGTTTAGTAGCCAAGGAGGAAGGCTGTGTAGTTGAGGCAACCAGGTGCTCCCAGGTAAAGATTGGCTTCATTAAATCCAAAATACACCAGAGTCCAGTTTGACCTAATATTCAGGGTGGGGGAAAAACAGTAATTACATCAACATCAAGCTATTACCTGTTCAAGGGCATAAGTGCTTTAGTTCATTAGCAACTCAGACAAACTTGTTTTGTAAGCTCCCTACATTAAATTTGAAATTTCCCTGCCCTTACAAATTAAACTAACAATTTCTGACACAAAGGGAAAGTCCAGTAAGACAATACAAACGTGAGTATATAAACAAGAAGACTTCCAACCTGCTCAAACCCCATATGTTCTCTGCCACTCACAATAACAAGAAGATTACCCAGGGCACCAAGTCAACCTAATGTCAATATCATTTAATTCATTTGAATAAATTATTTTAAAAAAGTAAATAAATAGCAGTACTCCAGGTTTCTTCAATCAGAGAGCAAAACCTACTGACCTCTACAAACATATATTTTTCACACTTCCAACAGGAAGTTAAAAGTGAATTCCCGTGGTTTAGTTCTACAGAATAAGTTCAACATGTCACATTAAAAACATTCCTCTTTAATGCTGGAAGTGGGGCTTTATAAAGATTCAGAACCTGCCACAGGACCATGAATAGCCAGGAGGGCACTGGGATTTCCACCATCCTTCAGTAGCTCAGGAGATGGATGACCACACCCAATTAATTTACTTGAATCTCTATTCCAGCTTTCCTCCTCATTAATTAGGAGCTGAGGTTCACAGAGATGACAGTTCCTGGCACGCAATGCCGGCGATGGCTTTAAGTGGTGCACGCTCTGTGATCAAAATGGAAAGTCACAGTCTGTGCTGCCCATGCAAAAATCAGAGATTTCCTTCTTTTTACCCAGAGGGAGCCTTACATTTAGCAGATCAGTATTTTCTAAAACGTGTTTCACTCAATGAACTAAACCAAAGCTAGGACAGTGATTTCAGGGGAACTCACAGAGCTGCCCCTGGAAGAACTGATGACCAAGCAGGCACCAAGAAATTGCATCATGTTTATTACACAGCACGAAGCCAAAGGCAATCAGATCCTTCTGGTTTAATCAATGGCCTTCAAATAAGGAAGCAGTTTGAAAATAATAAGCATAAAACAAAATACTTTTTTGGGTTCACTTTTTGAATTTTTCCCTATTGTGTAGAAAACCTGAGCATGTGCTGAAATATAATCTCATAAAAATCTACTTCTTGAATACCTCTGATACCAGAATGGCACTTTTATTCCAACTCAGTTTGCCTTAAATGCTGTGACTGAACTGCAGAGGGGTCCTGTTAAAAGACTCTGAACTCTGTCTCCAAACAAAAGGCCTGTTTCCTATTTAAAAACATTAACCAACGTATAAATAAAATAAATAAAACAAATAAAATTTAGTGTTCCAGGAACACCTCCTCCCCTGCCTTTTTTTTTAACCTGGATGTTGCAGCATTTCACAAGGCTGCAGAACCACCTGGGACAAAAACCTGTAAATGGAGGAAACAACTGGTCTGTGTTCCTGGTCCAGACTCACTGACCACTGCTCTGCCCCTGCTCCCCAGCAGCCTGGGGCCACCCTGCAAACTCCAGCCCAGCTCCATGCAAACAGGGTCTTCCCTTTAAGGCAGGACAGCCTATTACTCAGAAGAGACAGAGCCCAGTTTTTCTGAAAGACCCCCACATTCTGCAACACGTTATGAAACACAAATTTAACAGCAAAAGCCTGATACAAGATTCATATTTAGAATGCACACAAGGAGAAATATCTCATCTTTAAAAGCTTTGACTTGCAAAGATCCTTTTTAACTGATAATGATGTAACAAAGCAAAAGGGAAGTACTTAGAGAGAATCACTGTAAGTAATACACACACACAAATTAAATACATACATAGAATTAGTTTGTAATCTGAAAGCTCTAGTAGGGGGAACACGGAAACAACTCAGCTCAAACTCTCCTCAAATCAGATGATGAGTTAGAGGGTAGATAAATCTGGATTTTACAAATTATACACTAATGTAGATATGAACAGCTTGCAGCCTCACTGTGAGTGCATGAAAGAACTGTCAGGTATTTGTATGAAGTTCAATGTTAAGTGAGAGTTTGTGAACATGAATTTACATTTAAAACACACCCTATATTGTTGCATTACTCCCTGAGAGCTCAGAATTAGCCACCTACCGGAAAGAACTCAGTTTTAAAGACATAAACAGAGAGGAACAAGCATGCTGCATTATCTCTCTCCACAAACAATCCACTATCAATGTAGAAATACCAATATGTGTCCTCTAATAAATCTGGTACAAGATGCATCAAACTAATGACCACTGGCAAAATAAGCTGCATCACTCTAAGCACTGCAGCATTCCAAACACTTACTGAAAATACACAAGCAGACCCTGGAGGACAGACTGGAGCCCACTTATCCTCACCCCACACGAGCACCAGCCACCACAGGCAGCAGCTCCATTCCCAGCTAACTTTAAACTGTGCTGTGTTCCACAGGGGAGGTGAGGAGTGTCCCCACTGAGCCAGAACCCTGAGCTGCTTCCACTATCACTATCCCATAATGTGGGCAATGGGATCTGAAATCCTCCTGGACAGAGACTGGAGCTGAGCACAGCCAGAGTGAGTCCTCCTGCCAGGAGGGAGCCCGGACCAGCACCACCTGTTTTGCTGTTTTTAAACAAACACGGAGCTGCTACTCAACTGTGTGTGCAGGCCAGGCACTCCACACACCTCCTTGGAGCACAGTCCCAAGGAAAACACTCTGGTTGGGGACAGCAGACCCAGCACCGAGCTGCTGAGCTCTGCTCAGGCTAAGAAAGCAACCAGGGAAAACCTGGCTGCTACCAGGGCTACTAAAGTTTGGAATTACCACAGTCGTAGGGTTAGGGAATTAATTCTACTCACGTTCCCGAAGGAAAGGGAGGTGGGGAAGACACGAGGAGATAGATATATATACATAAAACAAAACTCTGAAGGCTTGGTACTTGCCTAGTGTCCTCCTTCCTTCTCCTTCCCACGCAAACACGAGTGCTGCTCGATGGCATCCAGCACCTAGAGCGAATCATTTCCCCGTGTCATTAAAAGGACAGAGACATCTGCTCACACACACCAGACCTACGTCATCGCTTCCAACTCCGCTCAAAGCCGACAGAAACGCGGCTCCCTTTTCCCTTCAATTCACCGGGTCACATTCCCGCTGGCAGACGGATCCCGGGGTGATCCCAGCGGAGCAGCGCCGTGCCCGGCTCCAGGTGAAGGCGGGCGGCCGCTGTCCCTCCTCTCTCCGCACGCCCACGCTCCCACCGGGGCGTTCCCGTCCGCTCGGGGCTGCTGTCTTTGAGCTCCAACTTCCACAGAGCTCCCGGGGACAGCTCCCGGCACACGGGAGGGACAGAGGAGGGGAGACAGGGAGCGGCTGCCCCCGCTCGCACAGACCCGGCACCTGCCCCCCGTCCTAAACTTCCCACCCCGAGCCCATCCTGGCCCCGGTCTTCTCTCTGTTCCACCCCCTCCCTGACCCCATCCTGAACCCATCCTGCCCCCTCTCCTCTCCCTATCCTGCCCCCCCTCCTGCTCCTGTCCTGTCCCCATCCTACCTCTATCTTCCCCCCTCTCCTCCGCCCATCCTGTTCCCCTCCTGCCCCTGTTCTGCCCCCATCATAGCCCTGTCCTGTCCCCCATTCTGTCCCTCTCCTGCCCCCAATCCCACCTCTATCCTGCCCCCTGTCCGGACCCCCTCCTGCCCCCAATCCCA